AAATCAGTCCTGCAACATGGGTTTTTGCCGCGGTACTTCAGTCAACCGGAATTGGGTTTCATTAAGGACAATGCTACGAGCATACCAATATGCCGATTTTGTAGATTCGGAAATTAGTAAATTGGTTCACAGCAAGGCGATTCAAGAGGTCGAGGACCACGGCAATGTTACGAATAAATCCTATCTCAGTAGCAGTCGGTAAGAAATTGCGCCTTATTTTAGACCCTGTCCTGTCTCAATAAGAAGCTTCACGAGTCTCAAGTGAAATTTGAAGACGTGGCCAAGGTTTTGCCTCTCCTCCCCCAAGGTTATATGGCCTCATTTGGTTTTAAGTCGGGTTACCATCACGTGAAAATGCACCCCGATTTCACAAGAGTTTTGGGCTTTGAATGGCGACAGAAATACTTCAAATTTCTGGTCCTTCCGTTTGGGTTAGCTCCGGCTCCTTTCGTATTCACTAAGACGTTCCGGCTACTTTTGAGAAAATGGAGAGAAAAAGGTTTGTCAGTGGCACTTTATCTTGACGACGGCCTTATTTGGGCAAAATCGGCACAGCTTTGTGAGGAATATGTAAACATAATCAAACGGGAGCCTGAACTCAGCGGTAGTCTCCTGTGCGGAGGAAAAATGCAATTGGACCCCAACCCAAAGAATCACGTGGTTAGGCCACGAAATTGACCTTAAACAACTTTACCCTTAGACGTACACGGAGAGGAGAGAGAATACCCGAGCTTTAGCCATGAAGCTTCTGCAAAGTAGGAGCGGACAGCTCTAACTTAGAATAGATTCAATGGCTGGGTATATTGACGCTTATGCTACTTGGTGATTTTTCACGGATTGAAAGAAAGTGGCAAGACATCGACAAGTGGCTGGTGTGCAGACAGAGCAATGTGCGATTATACGTTTCGTTGGAAACTGTCAGGGGAAGAAAGAAGTGAGTTATCTGATTGGTTAGACTTCGGATCCTCTTTCAAAGGAGTTCCGATAGACATTCCCAAGTTAGTTCCTTATCATTCTTTTGTGGCATTTTCAGATGCCTCAGAGTTTGCATCAGGGGCCATTTATGCCCCCCCCCCCCCCCCCCCCCCCCCCCCCCCCCGTATTGACGTACGCGGCTCTAAAATCACAACGTCCTCCTGTTCCCCTCCTCTTTCTTAGGCTCGTCTTCCACATCCAGGAGAGTTATTTGGCATACTGGCCAGTCTTAGGGCATTTTCGGGATTTGTCCCCTTCCAATCCTGTCTATGGCACTGTGACAGTCAGTGCGCGGTCAGTATCCTGAAGAAGGGGAGCATAAAATCGTATATTACAAGAATTGGCCGTCATTTGGGGATTATGTCTGCAGATCCTCTTGTTTACGTGGATATTTGTGTGGATTCCTGATTCAGATTCGAAGCGGCACCGAGCGTCTAGATTTGTAGACTTAGACGATTGGAGCATCTCCGCATATTTTCTTGGAGCTCAATAGCTCTTGTGGAGAATGCACAGTGGATATGTTTGCCAGTTCAGTCTCAACGAAGTGCAAAAAGTTCATTTCCAGGCTTGCTTGCGAGGAGTCGAGTGGAATTGATGCGTTTTCAAGTGAATCAACCATCTGGTGGAATTCTTCCCATTTCGGTTGGTGTTCCTCCTCCTCATCTCATTCCTAAAACTTTGGCCTGGGCCAAATTGCATCGTAGTAGGGGGATTTTAAGGTTCCCAATGTGGCCCTCAAACCTTTTTTTCCCGTTGCTTAGACAAAATGATTCTTGGATTCCGGAGCTGAAAAGTATAAGGTTTTTTCCAGCAGTGTTCTCCAGTATTAGACGGCTTTTCCCCGTCCTACACGTTCGGCTCGCCCTCCCTGAATTTCGGTTTTGCCTTCGCTCTTCTCTATTTCTAACCCCCTCCGGGCTTTAAACTGTTCCGTAATGTAGTTGTGTGATGTGAAGGACAAACGTAGGTTTCGTCGTAGAGTATCGGAGACGAAAATGGAGTTTTGAAGTTCACACAACTCCTCGCCGCCAGGCGGGGCCCGGGAGGAACGGGCCGAGCGACGCGGTCGCGTAGCGGCCAGGCCGCGTGGGAGGGGCGAGAGACCCCTCCGCATCCGGCTTTCGTTTTCGTAGCGCCCAACCCTCCCGCCCTACGAAAACAAATAGTCATAAAACCTCCATTAGCATGTTCTCAGATCCTCTTCCAGCTTCGCGCTTCGCAGCAGCCCCTTCGACAGCCCGCCTGGCCAAAGAAAGAGGGCTGCGGAGTGGGGCAGCCAGGTCATGACAATTTGATAACCCAGTCGGGCGACGGAGATTTCGAGAGAGTAAGTACCCGTTCCTTTAAGGATCGCACGGTCCTTAGGGGATTCGCTGGCGTCGCGAGCTTGCCAAGCTTCGGCTATCTTTATAGGGCAAACTTATACAGGCATGGGCAGGACGGTCTTTGGGATATCATGTATCCGCGCTTTCCCATTTTTTTGGGCCCCTCCCGGAGGATGACGCTGATACCCTCAAAGCGTTACTTAGAGCGGCTGCCAGATCCAGGGCCCCCGTCAAACATCGCATCAAGGCCTCTAAGGAGGACGTAGACCGCATAATAGAGCTTGGCCTTAACAACAGCTCCCGGCATATGTCGCGCACGACAACTGCGTCATGATTGGCTTATTTCCGCGCTTTTTGCCGAAGTGGAGAGTCGGAAAGCTCCGTACACAGAGGCTTTGGGACAAAGGGGGACGGGATCTGGATCTATTTTCTCCAGAGGTCAAAGCAGGGCAAGGGGAACAGGCAAAGGAGCAAATGGGGCCTCCAAGAGACCAAGCTGTGGCAGGCCTTCTGCCGCTTAAAAAGACCGCTGCTACCCCATAAGTTTCTCTTCAGCAGCGAAGCAGGAACCCCCCCCCCCTTCCAGGGATTTTGTGGCCAAAAAGATTAAGAAAGTCGTTAAGGCCGCAGGTTTACAGCACAAAAAATTGACCTCTCATTCATTTAGAGGGGGGCGCTGCCACGCACGCCATTCCCCGGGGGGTGGATTCAGGCAAAATAATGCTAGCGGGTCGGTGGAAATCCTTCCAAGGGTTCAAAAATTATTAGAACCTTCCCCCCTGTAGACCCGGGGAACGACTCTTTATGTTCCAGAGTCGTCGACAGAAAGGCAGAAACGCAGCAGGGAATCTCCCAGTCATGGAAGGAATCTCGAGGAGCGGATCGGAGGCAGTCCAGAGTCGGCTAATTGGTGTTATATTCATGTGTCATGTTACATTGTTTCGGTTTTTGTTGTGGTTCTGCTGCTATTATTGGTCTTTACCTAGAACCCATTTGTTTTTCTTTTTTCCATGAGCTATTTGTTAACATTGTGTACAGTGTTGTTTTCCTCGCTGTATAGGCCAGAATGTCTTTTATATTGGCCCATAAGGGCTCTCTGTATTTTGTACAGCGTTACGTCGTTCATTATAAGGGCCGAAAGGTCCTCCATCGTAGCCCAGAAGGGCTCTCCACATTGTGTACAGGGTTATGTCGCTTATTTTTTGGGCGTTGCCAGATATTCGTTGTCCTCTACTTTGTATATAGCAGTGATCCGGCTCAAGTTGGTTCATTGCAATGTTTGCTCCTAGAGCGTAGTTATGCATACCGTTACCGTTTTATCGTCGTTCGGTTAAGTTTTCATCTCAGGTAATGGGTAGCTGACTGCTGTTTTTCTGTTTTTTTTTTTGCCAGCCACCGCATAAGCATATTACGGGAGACGTAAGGTCCATTCCCTAATCAGATACTCGGTTATTCATCGGTATAATTTATCCCTGTTTCTTCGCTTATATCTCCTTTATACAATTTCTCAGGCTCACTCGCACAGAGCAGTGCGCCACATGTTTACCTACGATGACGTAGCAGTTAATTGTTTCCTAACAACAGTCTAAGGTATTTATGCACTATTGTTTTAAAACCGAGGGAGTCAGAAGCCCCCTTGTTGTTTTTCTGTACGTACATATTTGTTTCCTTGTATGGAGGCGGAGTCAGAAATCCCTTTTTGGGATGCGGCACGCATTCTACTTCCATTTGTACATTCGTAGTGGCGTTTGAATGCGATGTGGCCTATACAATGACTTGCGGGGGCCAGCCGATGTACAAGTCAGTGTTTTATCCTCCCAGACAAGTCTGGTACCAATTAACCGACCCCGGAGGGATGGAAGGCTTGGTTGGCCCGGGCGACTCACGACCCAGGATTTGATCCCCGGACCGCTCGCGTGGTAAGCGTGCCACTACACCACTTCCGCCCAGACGTAAGCATTGGACATAAATATTCACACAACAAGCTGTTCACAACCACGAATGGAGTGGACCCGTGTAATGGGAGTAACAGGAACACGAGAAAGTACAGCGTTTGCAGGAAAACGAATAAAAAAAGCAGCGGTCAGGGAATAAAAACTGCCATTTTCATCACCTGGTATTGAAGTCGGAATAGATCCAGTAAGCACAATAGCGAATCACTAAAACTACTACCGAAATTTCAGCAGTTCTTTTATATGTTTTTGTAGTGAAAATGTAGTTTGGGGGCCACTCATAATATCTAATCGAACTGGCAATATCTAATCGAAGTGGAGCTGCGGAAGGGCGGTCATATCTAATCACCATCCAGAGCACAGTCTCTGAGTGTATGATTAGATAGGGATACCAATCCGTGCCATACAAAATCGGATACCTGGGAAGGCCCTTTCTTCGAGGGCTTGCATGGCAGTCGCAAGAAGGTTTGATGAAAGTAAGGAGCCAGCAGGGTAGCAGCCATTTTAGCCATAGACCAATATGACAAGGGTAAGCGTACTAGTCCAGTAGGCCACGGTCTTAGTGAAAGATATGATAAGATATAAGTGCCTTCCCGCAACTCTACTTTGATTAGATATGAGTGTCTTTCCGCAGCTTCACTTCGATTAGATAGTGCCCCCCCCGAACTACATTTTCAACGTTTTTGTATTGCAGAATCAGGTGCTACAGCAAGTCCAGTCACCAGTCATAACGCTTATCTGATGCGAACTACTTCTTTAATCCTTGCAAAGAGAAACGATATTCTAAAGAAGAAGCAATCTCCACCTCAGACATCCGACTTCTTTCTTCAGGGCTTCCTGGGAAACAACACCTTGTCATTATACTGCGTACGCTTTTTGGCATCTTTTCCGGAGGGGAGAGTCGGTATCCAGCCGTAACCTTCAATCAAAAGTATATATTATCCTTATTTGTGCCGGATTCGCTGGTGTTATCGGATCGGAACACTGAACCACAAGATATCTGTGATTTCAAGTTTTTGATACATTTGTAAAACGTACGCTTGCTGTCACTTCAGCTACGCTCATGTTCGAGTATGGTGTTTGGCCATCTGTATAGATCTGAACGTCAGTGAGTCAGAAGATTGTTCACAGAGTCTCAAAAGCCTTTAAAAGGGGTGGTAATTAGAAATGTTACTTCTTGAAGGCAGCGATTACGATAAATTCAGAAGGGTTATTGTGACGTGGTGGTGCTCAATGGTACGCCAGTGGCGAAAAAAGCAGAAAAATCCGTCAAGAAAACGCAAAGGGACCCCTTTTTTGGCCGTTGGTTTTCACTCATGAACAGGTAACAGCTCAGAAAGTGGACGTATGAACGAGTTCACCGCAACGCGTTTGATGGCACCATGCCAAACACGCTTCAATCGAGATGCTCCATTTGCGCCGCTGCTGGCCACGCAGCTCGTCCAAATCAACAAGTAAACTAGTGGGCGGATCGCTTTTGGGGGCGGAGTGCTTTCGAAGTCCTGCTCAGCAACCAGCGCACCTTTCGTTGTGAAAGCGCCACACCTCGCTTCCTTGGCAGCCAAGTAACTGCTTCGTGTGGTGCATATGCTTCCCCGATGCGCTCCCTCTTTATCGTGAATCGCTTCCTTTGAGCGAAACAAATTGGGTTCGTGATGTGCCCTATTCGCGGCTGCAGCTGGGACGAACAGAAGTCTTTAGTGCAAGAAGTGAAGCTCGAACAAAAGTTATGGGTGAAATAGTCTGCTGCTGCAAGGGTGTCGTTCCATAAATCTGGCTGCATTTGTGATCGCCTAGTATGGAATCAAGCGCCATGCTGAGCCAATTCAATTTCCATAGTATTCATACAATAGCATTCATAGAAACCACAAGCGCATAAGAAGAAAGCCATCATTCATCACAATAATCAATATTTATAATTGCCCAGGCATTTTCGTGAACAGTCGCAATAACAGCAACAATTCAGATTGAGTTGTATTTCGAATTCAACTCTATATCTCGAGCCTATTAAAGGCAAAGGTCGGGATTAGTTGACCAAACCAACCCTTTCGGTCATGCCTGTACTTGGTTACGCACCCGTAGAGATGTTCCCACACTCAAAACCCGAAACGGCGCAGTAATAAGGCCCAGGGCATGTACTATGCGCTATCGCCGCCTGGCCCCGCTACGACCGCCCACCTCGGGATGTGGTGCATGGCTGGCATAACGTGTGAAATCAGCTAGGTTGATTGCCGTATCAACCGATAGAACGACTGATATCTTCAGAAAACTTGTTTGTACGTGCCTCTTCCCCAAGCCAGCCTCCTTCACTGCTAGTGGGAAAGAGGGTTTTGTTAACGGCCTTGTCGACGGTTTTTCTCAGTTTTTTCTCCACTGTCGTTCCACTTCGCATCTCTATACTCAGTTTCAATCGCCATAATACCCCCTTATTGAGCCCGACTTTTGCCTTCAAAGAAAATTGGAACACAACATTAATTGCGCATTCACCAGTGACGTGGTGGCGGTTCTGGAGCAACCGTCTGAAGGCTTGTTGTGCTGCGAGAGGGCAAAAAACGTAGATGGGTCAGTGGACGACTTGCAGCGCACAGTACAGGTTCCAGGTCAAACAGAATGTATATTGCCACAAAATATCTATGGAAGAGACCTTTGACGGAATTTTCAAATGAAAAGGAAGACGCTGACAAGTAATGTCTGAGCCAAAATTAGGGTAGTAGGGAAGGAGGAGACGTGCGTTTCTCCTCCTGGGGTCAGGTCACCACAGTTGCGCGATCATTGAAGCTTAAGGTTAAGTTTGGGTTTAGACTTAGGTTAAGGCTTATGCTTACACATTGGCTTATGCCTAAGCCTATGATTGGGCCTAGGCTTAGTCCTAAGCTTGCTCCGAGCGAATGAACGGCGTCTCAATTTTAGGTGACCTGACCCCAGGAGGAGAAACGCTACGCACCCCAGAGAAGGTGATTGTTGTTTTACAAAGCCAAACACAATGGTGGATCAATCGCCCACCTCCCACAGCAAAATTCCGAACGAGTATACGTCGCTTTTCTTTGAGTAAGTGCCTGAACTCAGAACCTCTGGTGCCAGCCATCGAATAGGCAAACGTTGCTTCATGTCCTAGAATGAAACTTTTTAGTCAGAATCTCTCGACCAAGTTTACTTCAAGAACATCCTAAATATCCACATTTTCTGGGACAACCTACTTTTAGTTTATACTTCTTCGCTCGATTTGATAATTCTCGTGATAGTCCAAAGTCACTGAGCTTTACGTCGCCTCGATGCACAAGGCAGTTCCTGTAAAGCTAGTACCTTTGAGCTGGAATTAGTTTGAATACTTCATACTCAGGAAAATTTATTTAGTGGCTGATCACTACGAGACTGTGATCGAAGACACTTGGTGCTTTGATGCTGTCTTTGACTTGCTAGTTCTGAACGCTTGCCTATTCCTTCGAAACTAGCCTATTTAATACCGCAGACTATGATGAAAAACAGCTTAACAAGAATTCAGTTCGAGGTTGAGAGTGATACAGGAGTATTGAAGGAAACAGCAAAACGGCTTATCTGGAAATGGGACCCCTTTCTATGCTGTTGATTTTCGGGTTGATGCAAATCTTATTATCTGCCAACAGCTGGAAGTGCAGCGACGCGGATATGCCCTTACTAAACTTCTGGGGCATATCTTTCGCTAGGAGACGCGCATCGTAGCACACCCTCAGGTGGGGTGTCTCCGCAAGAGGCCCATCGCGCGGCGAAGGAAGAGACGCAGACGCGGCAAAGGACGAGTCGCAGCGCATACTGTAGCGGTTAGGCGTCAGGGTTAAATAGAGTGTACATACATACTACGGTCAATACAACAGAGCAATCCGCTAAGTATCTCTGTATGTTCGCGTCACCCGCTAGGTCACCGCGCACCCTGGCTCACTTGCGCTCAATTACCAGTGCGTTTCCGCGCCATTGTCCACGTCCACTGCGGTCGGGTAACTGACAGGAGGCCCGTCGCGCGGCAAGAAGGCAGAGTCAGCGGACGAGTCGCAGCGCGTGCTGTGCGATGTAGGATGTACATTGGTACATTCTGTTTACTTTGACGCGAACCACTACAGCGCGAATCACTACACTACGCAATGTGACTAGTCCGTTACTGCCGCGCGACGGGCCTTGTGTCGAGCACGCACTGCAGTCGAGGCCAGTCAGTCGGTCGCTACGTGGGCCAACCCTGTGTCGGTCCTAGGAGCTAGCCACCTTTGGCAGGTCGGTCTCCATCAGGAAACGTATGAGGCCAGCTAAGGCGAAGGGGCACGTCGGCTCCAATGTTGGCGGAGCGCCTGTCATCCCAAAGCCGGTCGTGTCCTTCCCCTGCTCCCCGTCTGGGAGCAGCCCTTACAACATCCCAGATAGGACACGTCGGCCGCATGGAGCCCCCAGAAGAAGCCGAGCCAACGTGGGGGTCTAATACGTAGAGTCAGCTGGTGGGGCTCACCTCTGAGAGAGGTGATTCTGGGGAGTTCGAATAGGATGGTGAGTTATTACGATAAAAAAATGTGTGTAGCCATTCATGTGCTCCCTGTTTATTTGTATGTATGTGAGTTTTCAAGTGCTGTCAACTATAACTTGCTAAAAGCTTACCACACCTTGCCTTCGTCATCGAGAGAATTCTGCTGAATCAAATCTCAGGAAAAAAAACATTATTCAGCATATCAATTACCTTGCTGCAACATCCCTATGCAGGCAATCATTCTGGTGCAAATATTCCAAACCCTTGGCAGCACCGATTGAATAACGCAACTAAAACGAATGTCATTCGTAAGGTCTTCCTTGATTACCGTCTCGAGTATTGCATGAAAACTATACCCGATCTCGTTTCGTTATATGTGCAGCTTCCTTCTGTAAATGGACGTCCAGGGAACCACCGCTTACCATTTCCATTACTAACATTATCGGTTCCTGTAATATTACGAGAAATTATCACCAATGCCACTTTTCATCCTTATCCAACTATATATAATTCGCTAAGTACTGCCCGTGTCGAGCGGTGTTATCCCTAGCACCATCCACTTGTCGTTCACTTGTCAACATTCATACGAACAGTAGTGTGCACTTGTTTTGTTCAGTAACCTTTTTTCCCATACTACTTCTTCAAAGAGCCCTTATTACTGATGGGCAATATGATATAACAGAAGGAAGTGTGCCTCAATTATCATTTCGGGGCCCCTGATTAAGTTGTTTTTGTTGCTTCCAATTTTTTCTTATTTCTCCCTTTTTCCCGCTTTCTAACTTTAATTTATATGTCAGTTGATTGTTTTTAATACGTCACATTACTACATTTTATTTCTACTTCTCTGGCAACTGATAAAGATAAAGATAAAGATAAGTATATGTGTACGTGTGTGTAGGCTGGTGTGTGCGTGTATTTGTCACGAAATTCATAGCGCACGACCAGCAGCAAAGAGGCGCTGTTCCCTAGATATAATGTAGAGGGTGGACGGGAACATATTTAGGAGGTGTCAAAAATTGACAATCACTGATAAGAACTGATAAAGAGCATTAACACACAAAAGTTACGAAATGCATGGCACACGGCCCCGTGGCAGTGAGGGATTGTCTTCCTAATAAGATGAGGACGAGAGCATATTAGGTGAGTGACAAAAAGTGACAACAGCTGATAATTACTGTCAAGGGACGTTACGACCTTCTCTACTTCTATCACATGTAATGCTGTAAGTTTATACATATATATGTTTCTATTGATTTGCACTCCTGCTTCGGAATACTCACATGCTCGATCGCAACGCCGAAGAATTTCACAACGTTGGGGTGACGGTAGCGCCGCATAATCCGTGCCTCTTTACAGATTTCCGAAATGATTTTCTTTGTTACTTCGCTGCCCTTGTTTACTTTAACGGCTACCTGAACAAGAATATAGCTTCACTTCGGTAAACCTACCAATAAGACCAGAGTGTCTGCGATTTCACTATATCCACCCAAGAGGTAGACGGTAGCACGTTTCTCAAAAGCTGAAGCTAGATTTTGTTGTGATCCTAGAACGACTAAAGGATTCCACGATAAGGTGGATGGTCAAAGAAGGGGAAAGATACTTGATGGAAAGACATTTTGAAGGTGTTGATTGACACGCAGTTCACAGAGAGGATATACATGCTGCGATTGAGCATGAGCGTCCTCCGCCGCTATCGACATGACACGCCGTGCGATTGAGCATGAGCGTCCTCCGCCGCTATCGACATGACACGCCGTCCGATTTGGTGACCACTTGCCGCAAATCTTTAGCAGAGAGAGCGTCCAACAAGCCAGCACCGATAAGGGTCCATCAATGCGGGAATCAACGGGTAAGGAACAGGTCCCATTTTTGCTCTGCGGCGAAGCTAACATGGATTGGCATGCCACCAAAGGTGAAAATGGTACGGTTGCAGTGATGCTATTGATGCTGATCCGCGGACTGTGATTCTTCATACCAACACAACGCCAGGGTCGATTAATCGGTACCGGGCTTGTCTTGAAGTATAAAATCACCGACTTGTACATCGTCTGGCTCGTTAGTCGCTGTATGACCTAAATCGCATTCAAGATTCTACCGCAATTCTGAATGGAAGTGGGATATGTGAAAAACTCTAAAAATAGATTGTTCAACTCTGGTTGCTCCATCCTTTGCGGTTATTCTTCAATCATGTCGTCTGCGCCAATCCCGCTTTCATTTCTTTTTTCCCCACTGAAGTCTGTAATGTAATCCGGTGCCTTTAAACGGCATTGAAATGTTATGGTAATTCCACCGTAACCTATATTCAGAGATTTAGAATCAGAAATACCGATGCATCCAGAAACATCTCTGATACACGGCGAGCTTGGAATTCGCTGTGCCACAAGGCTAGACACCTCCAGGTACACGTCACGTATCGGCCCTCGCCACCCCTGCATGAATTGTGCAAGCTATGGGGTAAAGGCTGGGTCACGGGGAGTGAGCAATGGTGGCGGATTTACGCATGAGTGCATGAACGCTTTGTTTGTGTTTGGTTGGTATCTTCACAGCATATATGTGGCTTGCTCGATAGCGGTGGAGTACAATAGAGCCTTCGGCTTCGTTGAATGGAGCGATTCTGATAGAGTTGAGAAAGCATATGCGCCACACAAAGTTACTTCACTGACAGGTAAGCGATGTGTGGCGCTTTCACAACGGAATGTGCGTTGGGTCTTGAGCAGGAAAGCACTCTGCTCCAAAAGATCCGCCCACTGTTTGGTTCGTGGTTGGACGAGCTGTGTTGCCAGCAGCGCTACAACTGGAGCAACTCGACTGGAGCATGGATTGGCATGGTGCCACCAAACGCGTTGCGGTAAACTCGTCCATACGTCACCTGATCAACCGCTTCCCGTCCCTGAGTGAAGATCAACGGCCAAACAAGGAAGTCCTCTTCTGTGTTTTTTTTGATGAATTTCTCCGCTTTTTTGGCAGTACCAATGAGCACCCGCGCAAGCCCCTCCTACAGTATCCGTATTTAAAAAAAACAACACTATTGAGGACGTGCCCTTCGCCAGAAAACGTCCAGAAGGCCTCTAGCTGGGCCCTAGGCAGTAGCTCAGGCCCGACGTCATAGTCGTCGCCATAGATCACCGACTGCGCAACATCGTTTGCAACCAAGTGCACAAGCTGACGGCCGATGGCTCTGCTCGATCGATACCGGCAGCGCGACTGCATCGATCTGGGCGCCCAATCGCTTGCCAATCGTCTGCGGACGGAAGGAGCGATTGGCACGATTCCGAACTTAATAGATTGATTTTTCCATTACCAAACTTCATGATGTAACTAATTTCACAGTGAAAACACTGAAGTACGTGCATATAACCGTGCATAGGAAGGCCTCTGCTTGCTGCAACGGTTTTTTACTGCTCTTGTAGCAGACCAAACTTCATGCAAAAACCATGCGCGCACGTTTGATTGGTGGCCTTGCCAAGCTAGCGTCGCAGAGTGCGTTTGCTATGAACCCTCTAAACGTTCTTTGAGCCGTTATTCGCAAAATCCCACTAAAAGGTTGACGAATTTCGCGAGGACGTATGCTGTACAGTCTAAGTTTCGTTAGTATCTAAGCCGATCGTCACCTCCCCCGAGTCTTATTGTCTAAGGTTAAAATTCCTGCATAAACTCCTCCAAATGCTCCTTCTCCGAGTTTCTGTCCAAGTTCAATCTGCAAAAAAACCGTCTCTTGATATTTAGTGTGGCGCGTGCCTTATGTAACCAGCGTTCGTTATTGAGAATTGTTACTTCTTAGAGCATTGAAAAATTGTCACCAAGGGTCGAGCGCGAACCAGCATTCAAAAACAGGAATTCAAAAGGTCCAGTTTCAAGAATCGACACTATATGCACGGACAGGAGCACGGCTGATGCTCTACACCAATGATCTCATCACCGTTCTCCGGTGGTGGAGCGTTGGAATTGTTAATCGATTGTTTGCGCCTGTAGGAATGGGCGCTCATTAAGCGCGCAATTTCCGCGACGAAGCTGATTCGTGATCTAGGAGGTTACAGACCTGCATTTTCACGCTAATGGTAATCGGATGCGCTCCTATCTAGTTCGGGCCAGAATCCCGGGGGGCCTTTAATGGTCTGCACTCCTAGGTCGCGTTTTGCAGTCGGCGGTGGGAAGTCCAGTTATAAGTAAAGCGGTGAAAGATGAGTTAGTTAAAATTTCAAAAATAACAACTAAATTAACAAGTATTCCTGGCCAGAAGAAGGCGTTACGTATCAAAACATTGCCGGTTCAAAAATATACAAGTTGGAATTCATTTTTTGGAATGCCTTCGCGTTCTATTTTTGGAATATATTTTAGCAGCCTTAAAGAGTGTAAAGATTCAAATTAACGTGAGGGTTCGGGACAGCACAATATTAACACACATATGTTCACTCTGAATGACAAATTCAAATACCCATTCATGCTTGAATTCCCAATATTGCTTCGGTATTGGTGTGATTAAAACTGCTCCTGTCGACTCGGTGACGGGTTTCTGTTCTCGGACGTAGTAATCTATCATACCCAGGACGCTCGAGAAATTTTCTTTTTCAATATATACTTTTCCTGCAAAACCGTTATAATGTTCTTTTAAGAAGATCAGATTGTAGAGAGCTTTCAAGTAAAACCATTTCTTCGCATGTGTGACGCATATGAAATTAGTTCGCTAATGACAATGGGTGCGACATGCCCCTAAAAGTTGTTCAAATCAGCCCTAAATTGAGCCACTGACGATTATTCAACAACCGTAATGTTGCCAACCGAACGCTGAAGCTAGTACGCCAGCCTCTCGCTAGGGCATCGCATTGTGTTGCCACCACGTTGGTCCTGGTAATCTCGCAGGAGAGATGGACCCAGACCACAGAGAACACATGGTTCCAGCCCGCCATCAGTTCGAGAGGCGCTCCCTCTACCTGAGTCCACCCTCGCCTTGGATCGCCTCCTCACACTGCTCGACCTATCACTGGCTAAAAACCTTCTACTATTGTTAATGTTCTCGATAATATGTATGTATAATAGCACTCACCATCCTTTTCATTAACAACGAAGTGATGATACTTATCTTTCCAACGTGCTGACAGAATTATTCTCAGACCCTATAACAAGGGGAAACGGATAATTCAGCTACCAGCGTTTGGCAAGCAAGTTGGGATGTAAGAGCTTACCTCTAAAGCGAGCATCTTGAACAATGGGTGTTCCGAGATTTTAGTCTATCCTATCCACACCCCAAAATTGGGTCAGTGGGATGAAGCTCAGCGAGCAAAGAATAAAGATTGGCAAGTCAATCGCTCCCACCGACGTTGCTGCATGGACTTGCCAGGAAAGACGCTGGAGCATAAGAGGCTCAAGGGGCTCCACTCAACACCCTATGGTTCTCCCTCTCATTTAGGTCATCGCTTATATCCGTTCTCGGCAGTGTCCATGCTCTCGTTAGCGACCCTTTTCCCTCTTTACGGTATTTGGCATCTGTGGGACTCTAACAAAATCCTTAGAAAAACAATTGAAGTCCGCCCAGGCATCGATCGAACGCCGTTTAGTGGGTTTCACTTTGAGACGACAACGAGAACTAGAACTTCACAATTCGGACATCAGGGCCATATCGAAAGTGAAAGACGCCTCCTTCACGTCGATGAGGCAAAACACAGATTCGCTGGTCATTTGATGAGGAGAAATGATGGCAGATGTGCTGCAACTGTGCGATGGTACCCGCGCGAAAAGAAACGGCCACCCGGCCGTCCTCCAGTACGTTGGGCAGACTCTCTAGCTTATCGCAACAATGTATTTGATTCCGTGTCCCTTAAAGGAACATCCCAGGCAGGGATCGCGTGAACGCTTCCCTCCGGTTTGTAGTGTAGATCCTTAGAAGACAACCACAAATGTGGCCGACAAGAGCGCTTGGACCTTACAAAGTGAGCTGCTCAAGCTGCAGATTTTTTCTCTATCAGGCTGTTGTCTGGCGCTCTCTCATCTGTAGCGCTCTCTCGCCTCATACTCTCCTCTCCGCGCTTAGTCTCTCATTCCCTTAGCACAGCCGATTAGGAAGGTGAGTGAGCCCTTAACCTGAGCGTTTTCGACGGATTCTTTTCCTTTTTCTTTACTGCCGGCCCATTTCGCACCAATACATTCGCATTCGTGTGCAAGAGCCACACCAATGTGATCCTGGGGCATGCTTTACAGGGTTTTCCACCCCAATTCGTAAACTTTGCATTCCATTTCGTAAACGTTGCAAGCAATTTCGTCAAACGTTGCAGCTATTTTCGTAAACGTTGCAGCCCATTTCGTAAACGTTGCAACCAATTTCGTCAAAGCAGCAGATATTTTCGTAAACGTTGCAGCCCATTTCGTAAACGTTGCAACCATTTCGTCAAAGCAGCAGATATTTTCGTAAACGTTGCAGCCAATTTCGTAAACGTTGCAACCATTTCGTCAAAGCAGCAGATATTTTCGTAAACGTTG